TGAAAGCTTCAAGATGGTTATAGTCAATTGATTAATCAAGTTATGGCTCATGCAACTTGGAAGCTTTTGTAGCAAAGCATCAAGATTTCTTTCTTCAACACCTTTGACTTTAATTTTTTCCTTTTCATTTTTTCTTTTTCTTTCACTATTTTTTTCTTTTCCTTTCTTTAGGTTGTTTGGTCCTTTTGTTTTTGTCTTTTTTAATTTTTGTTTCACCTAAAATTCAAACTTCAGCACAACAAGGTTCTCCATCCCCATCATACTTCCAATCAATACTTCTGACAAAGTCAAGGCTTGTATTTTCAATCAAGCCTTGATATCTCAATATAAGAGTCTGTTCCAATATTTTGTTAAAGAAGATGCTATTCTTCTGAAAGAATCTAAAAGGCTGGAAGCACCAAATTATATACCCATTCTCCAAATTCAAATTTTTTATTGGTAGAATAGGAATTTGTTAAATTTAATCAAGTAGTACACTATTTTTTTTTCCAAGTCTATGCATCACATTTTTGCACAATAAAGAAAATCGGGTTTCCCTCGAGTTGGACCTTTCCCATTCTGAGAAGTAGCTAATCCTGAAGAAGCTAGATTGGCATTCAACTGTGCCCATAGCTTCTCAATCCTTCTGTAATGCAACTGCCACAAAGCATACTCTATATCTGTTGCCATGCATTTGGGTTTGATGGTACTCTGGCTTGTGCCACTTTCGTACGCTTGTTCTCCAACTCATTCTATAGTGAAGCAAAAACTCAGGAGGAAAGAACATAATTGATTGAAGAGTATTGTGCAATCATGACAATGACATATTTTTTAAACCACCAAATTGGACAAGAAAAAGTGGCAATCATTCAGTTAATGTTCTGAAAAAAAAGAATTATTACGGTGTTTTCGCCTATTTTTGTATGTTACATGGATTTGCATACACGTGAATAAAATGAAAATATACAATGCCAGATGAACATCCAGCAGATAATAATAAGACTTAAATGAGTGATGCATATGCATACCTTGTTGAAGAGACATTGAACATGCGCCCTTGTTGAATTTTCTTTTTCATCATCCATCAGAATGAAATGGTCACAATTCATCAGAAGCAAAAGTGTGTAACTTTAGAAGCAACATATAACATTTAATCCGCAAGAAACTGCCTGCAATATAGCCTTTAAATCACTAATGTGCAAGAAGTACAAGGCAAGATTTCAACATCCATTATTAGTAAGTACACTAAGGTAGGAAAAAAAAATTAAGTTATTTGATATACATCTGAAATTCAAGTAAGAAAAGCAACTTTGTAGTCAAGAAGTAATAAATT